GAGGCATATGTTATTTCCTTGATTTCTCTTGCTTTCCTTAATAATCAAATTATGTATTTTGATAATGATAGCGATTAAGGGAAAACTACTTTTTACCACATAACTCTGTCCAGTCTTGGTAGAAGACTGCTTTTATTAAAGAAAATATAGGATTTTCTGGAAAAGACACTAATGTAATGGATACCCTAAAACTACCACTTTTATTAAAGTGATTGGATTAAAATGACACTAAATACTTATGAACTCACCAGCATTTGTAACAATGCTGATACTCGCTTTTCAAATAACTTGTATTCTCAGGTCAGCATTAGACAGGTACATCCCCGGAGCTGTTGATGAAGATAGCTTAGTACCATGCTGTATTTATTATATATACTTGTATTAGTCTGATATATTTTAATGTAAACAATGTAAAACTATTACTATTGGTGCAATGTTTTGTTGTACTTTGATTACTATAATGCATGTGTTGTGATACTTGACATGACGTCATCCACCCCAGAACGTTTCCGCCGTTCCGGTTTTGGGGTGTGACAGCATTACCTTGTGATGGTGTGTATGAAGTTGTGTCTGTTGTAGATAACTTAGGAAATAATGTATTGTGTATTGATTCTACTAATAATAATAATTTTGATAAAGCATCACTATGGCGTTGTCGTCTTGGACATGTAAGCAAGAAGCACATAGGTCAACTCCAAAAGGATGGAGTCTTGGAGTCATTTGACCTAAAGTCATATGATAGTTGCGAATCATGCTTACTTTGGAAAATGACAAAGTCACCTTCACTGGCTCTTGTGAGAGGGGTGAAGGTTTGTTGGACCTTATACACACGGATGTGTGTGGACCCTTCAAACATGCCACAAGGGATGCTAATCGTTATTATGTGACTTTTACAGATGATTATAGTAGATATGGATATGTCTACTTAATCAAGCATAAGTCAGAGACTTTTGAAAGGTTTAAAGAGTTTAAACAAGAAGTCGAGAATCAATTGGGCAGGAACATTAAGATGCTTCGATCCGATCGTGGTGGTGAGTATCTTAGTACTGAGTTCCTCGACTATCTAAAAGAATGTGGGATTGTCTCACAATTGACACCTCCCAGGACGCCACAGTTGAATGGTGTAGCTGAGAGTTGTAATCGAACCTTGTTGGACATGGTTCATTCCATGATGAGTTGAGCTACACTACCAATCTCATTTTGGGGGTATGCCTTAGAGATTGCCACCCATATCCTTAATCTGGTCCCTACAAAGAAGGTTGCCAAAACACCTCACGAGATGTGGACTGGAAAAGTTCCTAATCTAGCCCACATCAAGGTTTGGGGTTGCGAGGCTTTTGTGAGACGCGAGACTCATGACAAGCTTGAACCTCGAAGCGAGAAGTGTATTTTCATCGTCTACCCACAAAAATCTTTTGGTTACCTCTTCTACAGACCTAGTGAGAATGTGGTCTTTGTAGCAAGGAGGGCTGTCTTTCGAGAGAGAGAGTTCATAAGCCAAGGAGATAGTGGGAGGCTAATTGACCTTGAAGAACTTCAAGATTCAAGTGGTGAAGGAACCTCAAACCCTAGCAGTCAACTAGAGGAGGAATCTCCTGTTGACCCAACTATACCTCTAGTTGTACCTCTGAGGAGTTCCACAAGGGTTAGGAATGTACCTGAGCATTACTATGGTTTCCATATTACTACGGAAGGTGAGACACTTATTAGTGATGAAACACTAGTAGGTCTAGATGAACCAAACAGCTATGCGGAAGCCATGGCAGGCCCTAAGTCTGCTAAATGGAAAGAGGCAATGGATAGCGAGATACAATCCATGTATGACAATCAAGTTTGGAACTTGGTTGACAATGTGCCAGGTTGTAAGATTGTAGGGTGCAAATGGATCTTCAAGAAGAAGACCGACATGGAGGGTAATGTACACACTTATAAGGCACGAATGGTTGCAAAGGGCTTCTCTCAAACTCCTGGAGTGGATTATGATGAGACCTTTTCTCCAGTAGCCAAGATTAAGTCTATTAGGGTATTGTTAGCCATAGCTGCATTTCATTAATATAAAATATGGGAAATGGATGTCAAAACCGCTTTCCTTAATGGAAAGTTGGCTGAGGATGTTTACATGAATCATCCAGAGGGTTTTGTCAGCTCAGAGTACCCTAATAGAGTGTGTAAGCTTGAGAAATCCATCTATGGATTAAAGCAAGCACCTCGCAGATGGAATCTTTGCTTTGATGAGAAGGTCAAAGAGTTTGGCTTCTCTAGGAGTGAAGATGAATCTTGTGTATATGTCAAGGCTAGTGGGGGTATAGTCAGCTTTTTGGTACTGTATGTGGATGACATACTACTCATAGGAAATGACATCCCAACTCTGCAGGAAGTTAAGTCCTGGCTTGGGAAGAGTTTTGTTATGAAGGACCTAGGAGAAGCTGCATATATTCTAGGGATAAGGATCTTGAGAAACCGGAGTAAAAGACTAATTGGACTTAGTCAAAGTACCTGCTTGGACAAGGTGTTGAAGAGATTCAGCATGCAAGATTCCAAGAAAGGAGAGTTACCAATCCAGAGTAACACTAGACTGAGTAAGACTCAGAGCCCAAGTACTGAGGATGAGATAGCAGAAATGAGTTGGATACCCTATGCTTCAGTAGTAGGCTCGATCATGTATGCTATGACATGTACTCATCCTGATGTAGCCTTTGCTTTAAGCATGGTTAGCAGGTATCAAGGGAATCCTGGTAAGACTCACTGGACAGCGGTAAAGAACATTCTCAAGTAACTACGGAGGACTAAGGACTAGGTCCTTACCCTTGGTAGGAGTGATGAGTTGAGAGTTATAGGGTATAGTGATGCTAGCTTCCAGACTGATAGGGATAATTTCCGCTCTCAGTCAAGCTGGGTCTTTACCTTAAATGGAGGAGCAATCTCTTGGAAAAGTTCCAAGCAGGAGACAGTGGCTAATTCAACTTGCGAATCAGAGTATATAGCGGCAAGCGAGGCGGGAAAAGAGGCTATGTGGCTACAGAACTTCATTGGAGACCTTGGAGTTGTACCAGCTATATCGGGGCCTATAGAGATTTTCTAGTGATAGTGAAAGTGCAGTTGTCTTAGCAAAGGAACCAAGGGATCATAGGAGATCCAGACACATCGACAGAAAATATCATTTCATTAGACATCGTACAGAAGAAGGACTTCTCGTGGCAAAGAGAGTATCATCGGATGAGAACCCGGCAAATCCCATCACGAAGGGACTCGGTAGGGTTAAGCATCTCCAGCATGCTAGGAGTATAGGGTTGAAGGATGATATTAGTTTTAGTAGTTAGATAATTTTGAAATTGGTAAAACGTAATTGACATTTGATGATGAATAAAAGTTGTGTTTATTTATGAGTGAAGTGTTGCTATCACTTGTCAATCGTTTACTATTATTTATTTTGCATGTTTTGACTTCCAGAATATTTATGTTATTTTACATATTATTCAAATTATCCACAGTCGGTCATATGCTGGAAGTAGATATGAAATAAGACTGTCGTGAGTTGGTTGTAGAGGTCTAAGATGTTGGGCATGGCCTCAACACTCATGAGTGCTCATAAGTTCTGAGTATTGGATTCAACCCACGCTCGCTGGCATCACTTCATGGAATTTATCTCGAGTGATCGCGAGACGGTAATATCATATAAGTCTTCAAACCTAGAGATATGACTTGTTAACTATGAGTTAGTTATGCATTGAACGTGCGAAACCGCATTGGTAACTCGATGTTATAAAACGTGCGTTTGTGTGTAATTTAACAAGTAGTAGAACAAGCATATGAGTCGAAGTTTATCTGTTCCTTCTTGGATTAGAGGCTGATATCTGGGCCCCCTCGATGATTTTGTTTTGACCTATGTACCACCGAGCCCGGTCAGAACTAAGTTGATGTGTTCAATTAAGTTCTTTGTCAAACAAATTAGAAATCAGGAAATAAACTGCTGGACAATAAGCAAAACCATGTTCCATGTGTTTGTCCGGCTGATATCTAGAATAGAGGATTATATGATCCCTTATCTGAAATGGCGTACCATCATCTTCTCAGTTCCGAGAGACCTTGAAAGAGCTACGATTGCTGATCGGTTCCTGAAGTATTACAGTTATAGTTATTAGACTTATCCAAGTGGGAGACTGTTGGATAAGGTGTCTAAGTCCATAACTATTTCTGGTAAATACTTGACCCGACCCGGCATGGTCCATTTGGGTTGCATGGCACCATGCAATTGGATAAACTAAATGAGAGAAATAACACATATGGTTTATTAATATATTATAAGTTCTAATATATTAATAATATTATTTAATTAGTTTGATCAAGAATTAATTTAGAATTAATTAAGTGATCAAAAGACAACTAATTAAATGTATGGATTGATTATGTAAATCATCCATAACTTATATAGTGGGCTAAGAGGCGCCATGGATAATCAAGATGGGTTATACCCATTGGATGGTCCATGGAGGCTCCATGGGAGTTACAAACCCATGGGTCATGGAAATGAAGAGTAATGACACATTAGGGTGTAACCCTAGATGTGTCAACACTATATAAAGCTCATGTGTTCTCCCCAAAATCGGTTAGACAAGAAACAAGAGGGCTAGAGCCGATTTTGAGTGTTATACATTCTCTCCAAGTTTACTCCACAGCATTTGGTGTTGTGTGAAGCATTTGAGGCATCACACTTGGGGTGCTAGGCTCACAAGGTTTCAAGGAACACCTACAACAACAAGGTATGTAGTTCTATCTATTATTTAAGTTAAAATTGTTCCCCATGTATGCTAGATAGGATCATAGCCTTGGAAATCAACTTTGCATGATAATTAGACAAACATAGATCCAAGGTTATTAGGGTTTCATGTACAATTAGGAAGTGTTAGAATGCTCAAAACCCATCACAAGGTACTTCAACTCTTTCACCTATATCTGTTCCAGTTTCTATTGTTATCTCATCCATATTCAAATCCAATGTTATGGATACTTCTACTTTGTTACCACCATTTGTTTCACCAATTTCCACATCTTTACCTGCATCTACCATATCACCTACCTTTTCAAATATCATGAACCAGCCTATCACTTCTTTATTTCCTTCTCAATCCACTGAAGGATCCAAATCCATTCCTGATGATAACACAAAAGATGATGATGTTATGGTTTCTTTCCCTGACATCCAATTTGATCCTGAGGAGGAGAACATTCCTGATTACATGCTTATGTCTGGTAAGCAGTTCAAGATCCTCAATCAAAAGCTTAACTCTTTATTATAGTTGCAACTCATGCTGGCAATCGACATAGTGTATCTGAGATTGAAGTAGATGTCATGCTCAAAGCTCAAGAACTTCGTTTGAAAGCTTTGATGGAACAGGTTGATATGAAAATTGAATAATGGTTGAAGCAACAGTCTGATTCTTTTGTTCATGAGGTAAAGGATTTAAGGGAAATTGCAAAAGAATGACATGTTCTATTTGTTGAGGCTGTTAAACAAGTATAGGAGGATGTGAATTTGAAACTTGAAGAAATTTGTTTTCAAATGCCGAAAGAGGTTGTCAATCGTGATCACAGTTACTCAACTCTCAATACAATAGTTGATATTGTTGTTGCTGTTGTTACGAAAGTTGTTGAATTTCACGATTCTCCTCATACCAAGATTGTTGCAAAGTCGGAGTTTGATTCTAAAAGCTTTGCAAAATTAGAAGAGTTAGTGGGCAGTTTGAAAGAGTTATTTTTGAAGCTTGGTTCTTCTCTACAGTCTTCGATTTCTCAAGAATCCTTGTCTAAGATATTTTCCTCATTGGATTCTTCTCTCAAGGCTAACTTGGATCCACTTTTTTAATTAGTTGATTTTGATGCCAACGAATGCACCGCCTATTAAAACAGGGAAGCAAGGGGGAGAAAAGGTTGGTGGTTCTAATTCATCAAAAGCTGGTGTTGATGAAAAAGTTGTGGAAAAAGTGTTTACTATTGGTTCATCTGCTAGTGGATCAAGTTCAAAGCCACCTTCTTCAAAGAATTATATGGAATGAAAAGGGAAGGGTATCAGTGTTGAGCCAAGGAGAGAATAAAAAAAAATATTTCTTTGCAAAAGTAAATGGAGAAACAAAGGTAGATTCAAAGCATTCCAAGACAAAGACAAAGTAATCCTCCTAGCCTTGAGAAAGGTGATCCAACAAAACCTTATTGTTACGAAACTATTGAAGCTTCGGTTTTTAGTGGGGTTGTGCATGATTTTAAGAAAGTTCCTAAAAAGAGTTATTATACTGAAAATACTAATTTCAATAAGTTGGATTTTCCAATCAATGAAATGATGTTCATATCAGCTCAGTATCAGATTGTAGATAGATTTGAAGACAAGGAAGAATATAAGAGGTTGAAGCTCAGATTCCATGCAGTTCTTGGTAAAAGAGAAGAGGAAATCTGGTCTTTTTAAAGATTGTGAGAGTTCTTAATATCTCAAAGGATGTTATATTCAAAGGGGTATTGCAGAATTATCGATTCCATGTTGTTCGAGCCAACAATGTAGCCTTTGATTTCTCTATAGCAAATTTTCCATTGATGAATCTGAATGATCTCATTAGTGTTGCAAAGATTTTGAAAGGGGCGGACATTTCAAAGCTTAAAATGACCAACAAAGAAGAATTTATGATTAGGTTCGCACATATAAAATTGTTTATAGACAATTACTTTGATTGTCTTGCTATCACAGATGTGGAACTTGCACCTGCTATGGGTAGACAAGTTACTGTCCCCCAATCTACGTTGAAGGGTAAAGGAAGTCTTAAATATTTTAAATATGGTGATGTTTGTGTGAAACCATTAGGAATCGTTTTTATTGGGAAGAACAAGATAGGGAAAAGCACGAAGTTCCTTTTTCAAGTTTGTGATGTGGAAAAGTATACCAATTCACATTATACGAATCTTCTTGTTTGTATAAATATCTGCAAAAGACATAATGATGGAGACAAAGTTAGGGTTCAAAGAACAATTAATTGGTATGTCGAGATTAGAAGAGTTCTTCATTGGAAGCCAATATGCTAATGGCTTAGGATTCGACACTGCTCATCAAGTGGGAGAATGTTGAGGTCAAAGATAGTTGCAAGGTGCCGAACTATCCTTAGTTCTTTGTTAGTGTCGAAGTTAGTATTGTATGTATTGAATAAGGGCACATATGTATGTCAAAGCGTTATTGTTTTAGCCCTTGTGTATTTTTTGTTTACTTATGTTATTCCTATAAATCGGGATAGTGCTAGAGTTAGAGTAACTTTTGAGCCTTCGTTGTTCTTACTCTAAACCTTCTCTTGTATCTTTCAAAAGTAATATTGAGCCAAACGGATTATATTTATGATTTCATTTTCTTGTTTGAGTCACACTCTGATTTCATTTCATATACTCGATTAATAGAAACTACAACAATATCAAATAACATTATGGTATTTTGGGGTCTACTTACTGACTCCGGTTGATCGTACACATCACATCCTCCTTGATTATTTTGAAACAATTTGAAAAATTATTCTAAAAATCTTTTTCCTTAGTTTGAGACTAGATTCAAATGAGTATTCCTCTAATTTACTCAAACCAAGGCTCTGATACCAACTTGTAACATCCATAAAATTCATGAAAAATTTTAACTTTTAAAACAACCCATAAATCATCATTTGTTTACAAATAGTTTTGAAAACAGTTTTAATATCTGAGTTTTCCCAAAATCATAAAATCAAAACTCGAGGAGGTGCACAATCACGCCTTCGCCTTCCTGTGATCCTTTGGAGGTACCAGAAACATAATCCAAAACTGTAAGCACAAAGCTTAGTGAGTTCCCCTAATACACTAATACACAAACAAAAAGCACATATATAATAATAGCGGGCAATGGGTCTAGAACTAACAGACAGGATGACCCCTTTGCCCACAACATAAGTCTGGCTTGACCTTGGCCCCACAACTTATGTCTGGCTTGCTCCCCGGCTTGATCAGTCCTCGGACTGAATACCTCTAAACCCTCCAAACGAGTCAGACATGCCCTTCCTGAACCTCGGCTCGTATCTAGAATGCTCATGAGCCCTCATTATGAGTCTGACATGCCCTCCCTGGCCCTCAGCTCATATCTAGTTTTCTCCAGGGTTTGTTGGCTATAGCACGTAGCAATAAAACCTCAAACCAACCCACACAATATGTCGACATATAACACATAAAATCATAAACAGATAAACAGACAGTATCACAGGTAGTCCTACAGGTCTACTAGACTAGAATACATATCTATTCCACACTCAGCATATCAATAATATCAAGTTATCAAACCAATGGTCCGACCTTGGTGCCTTCGACTCGAAAGTATAGTGAGGAAAACTCACCTCACAAGCTGAACAGAGCTGGTAAGGCCCACTTTGAATCTCATTTCTCTACTCAATGCCTACATCTACCAAGTGACCAATTTCATCAAAATCACAACAATACCCAAAATACCCTAAAAAGTCCAGCTTGGTCAAACATGGTCAAACTTAAAGTTACCTGGTCAAAGTCCATAAACCCACTGAGTCAACCCAACCGAGTTAACTCAACATGGTATGAACCATGCCAGTATGTGGGGTGTATTTCGGCGGTATGCTCAACGTACACAAAGCTTCGCAGAGAACCACCATCGAGGTGGCTGACCAGGTACACGGGGAGTACACCAGGATGCATGGGGCGTTCACTCGCGTATCCAACTTCTTCATTAACTGCTTAATGCCTTTAGCACTTGAGCTCATACTTCAGATCCAAGTTCCATAGGCATACTATGGTTATAAAGTCCCCAACTTTACGACTTTTCACGTTCAAAAAGTCCTTAATACAAGGTCTTAATCCATTAAGACTATCTACAAGAAGCACGGAGTCAAACTAACTAAAGTGGGCTCTTTTTGTGGCTTAGGATCCATCCTAGGGTCTGAAAGGATAACCCAAAATGTCCAAAACCAAACGTGCATAGAAATGGGACTTTTGACACAAGAAGAACCACATAAAGCTACCAAAATGAGATCCAAGAAAACAAAACATCAAGGGGAAGAATTTTTACCTTCTGGAGCTTCCCAAGGAGGTAATATTCCAAGATCTACAAGCTTGCTTCAACTTCCAAGCTCCTTGATGCAACTCCTTCTTCATAAAGCACACCAAGAACACACTTTTAGCTCAATAACACTCTTAAGGGACTAGGGTTTGCCAAAAACGACTCAAGGGCTTTGGAGGCTAAAGATGTGGAGGTAAATGAGCCATAAAGATGCATAAATACCCCAAAACCCTAAAACTTAGGGTTTTACTCGGACATGAGTACGCCTAACATATATATGTGTATGCCCAGTGTACTAGGGTACGCCCTAGTACGCTTAGCGTACTCCCGCTGCATCTAAATTACAATCTTGCCACTAGGGTTCCCATGGCTCTTTCTTTCCAATCCAAGGACCAATATGACATGATTTAAAACCAAGGGATGAATTTGAAAATACGTGAAAACTGGAGTGTTACACCTTGCCCCTATCCTCTGAGGTACATGGAACCATAACGTCAAACTGTAAGCTTGCGCTTAGTGAGTTCCCTTAAATACCACACATAGCTAAACAGATAATATCATGCATATATGGGTCTGTGGCTTGACTAGACTGCCTTGCAAGGCTTACAACCTATCTGGACCATTGTGGGTATCTTGGGATTCAACACAAAGTAGGACTACCTCAACCTAACCACAATATCTCGACATATGCATCAGACAAACATATACATATAGCCTACAAGTTTAGGTAATCATATAAATCTACCAATCTAATAGTTCGCTACAACATAACAACATCTTATATACCAGGATACATAACATAACACAGTGGGTTGGCATTGGTGCCTTCGACCCATTAGTACAATGAGGAAAACTGACCTCATAGTCTGAAAGATAGCTAAACTGATCACTACTCCAACACTGACTCTACATATCACCTATACCACAAACAGAGACCAAGCCTCAATCCACTACTCAAAATACCCCAAATAACCTAAAGTCAAACTTGGTCAAAGTTAACGATAAATGGTAAAAAGTCAAAAGTCAACCTCCACCTGGTCGACATGTTGCAGCCATCCTTGGCCACGTCGTGGCATCAAAACAACAAAACAAACGAGCCTTAGCCTAGTCGCCACACCGGGGCCACCTAAAGTCATGGTGTATGCATTGGGTTCCTAATAGCTTAATGAGTTAACTCATTTACTTTGATGCTAAGGGCTCCAAACCTCAGATCTGGTCCATTCTATGGTCTCAATGGATAAAGTTTCCAACTTTATCCCTTTAGACTCTCCAAAAGATAAAGATCTCAACTTTTAGGTATAAAAAGGGCAAAGCACAACTTGGCTTAATCAATAAGCACTTAATCTTGAATACTTCTTGTCTAAAGTTTCGATAATGGTTTCTAGCACCACAACTAACAAAAAAAAATCCATACTTGTTAGAGATGCATGTCCAATGCATGTCTTGAACTCCTATAGGGTTAAAATGAGCGTTAATGGCCAAAAATCCATGTATGATACGAAAACTCATTTCTAATCCAGATCCAAAGCACCAAATAACCAAAATGGCCTGGAGATTCATAAAGTTTCCTGTTAGGTTAAAATGAGCGTTAATGGCCAAAAATCCATGCATGATACGAAAACTCATTTCTAATCCAGATCCAAAGCACCAAATAACCAAAATGGCCTGGAGATTAATAAAGTTGAAAACTTTATGAGATCTAACCACTTAAGCCCATCAATACATGAATAAAATGGACAAAATCTAAGATCTAGCAACTTAGCAAGGAAAAGTTTGGGTCTTGAACA